GGGACTCCTGTGTCATTCCCAATCCTGGAAACCCTCCGGCAACCCCTGACTCCCCGACCACCCCATCCCCCGCCAAGCACGTTCACTCAGCCCCATACCTGCTTGTCCTTCCCTCCTCTGCCACCCATGCACCTGCCCATCTGAGAGCTCTCCGTCTCACCCTCGAGGCCTCCCAGGCCTCGTGGCCGTTGTTCTCTCTCAGGTGGTACCCACATTATGGCCGGATAATTCCTCCTTTACTGTAGTTCTTACCTTATTACGGGGGAATATGAGCCAAGGCCATGTGACTCACTGCCAGGTAGAAACTAACAGAGCCAGCACATGCTTCTCCCGTATCCTTCTCTCCATCAGGTGGCCAGGAATGTTCCAGATCCCTGTGGCTTTGCCATGGATATCTCATTTGAAAGAGAAGTAACCCCCCAGAATCTCAGGGGTCTCGTTACCACAGCATAATCTAACCTTTCTAGAAGGATACACTCCTCTATCCAGCATGCCCAGAGTCTTATATGTGACAAGTGACGGTATGCTGTTTCACAAAGTTTCGCTGCAAGAGCCGTTGATAAACTTTAGAATAACCCAACATTAGGAGCTGTTACAAATGGGTGGAATTAGACAAAGCCATTTGCCTTTCACCTCTTGCTTCAGTTTTCAGAAAAATGCCCAAAGGTATTGCAAACCATTTGCATTTTCGTTGGCTTGGTTAAGGAGTTGGCAGTGTCAGCGGGCCCTGTGTAAAGCCACGTCACTGTTTCCGTAGAGAGCATGACACGTCAGAGAGGAGGGAAGTGTTGCCAGGATTCTTCTTAGAAGGCTGGCAAGAAGAGGAGGCGAAAAGGGAAGAGCTGTTTGTAAACAGGGAAAGACGACGACTTCGCCTCGTATCCTTGACTTCTCATCGTAATCGATTGTAATCACTTACAATCACAAGCCTCATTTCCTACAAGCCTGCAAGTGGGTTCTATTCTGCATCTAGGAAAAAGCCCTGCTTACTAACTGTGCCCTCAAAGAGATCCCAGGCTGGTCCTGAACACCCTGTGTCCTGGGAATGCTTACTGTCGAAGCTCTGCAAATTTTCTCATTGAAGGCACTCAGGGCATTCTGCAAATTAAATTAGGAAAATGTATACAGCCCTACATGAAAAAATCCAGGTTTATGATCTGTATTGTATTACCAAAGAATTTATCACTTTTCAAAGAACATTCAATTATTTTAAACTGAGTGTGCAGTGAGAGGATTTCTAATATAATCTCATTTCCAGAGTGTTCCATCCCGGCTCCTCTCTGGTATAAATAGCTTAGGAGGTTAGATTTTTTTTTTTTCCCAGAGGATTAAACATTCGAGAAAAGTGGCTAAGAGGCAGCACCGGCTTTCGCTCATTTCCTAAAGTGAATTTAGCCTTGTGAAGAAGAATAAAGTGAAGGTCAATGGTTAGATCCATGGCTTAAAAAAAATGCAGCTTTCCTTAGTCTGAACTTACCATAACCAAAAAGGCCATGAGGCAGCCATTAATGATCCTAAGTTGCAACAGAAAGAAGAAAACACTTACTTAGGGTTAAACGAGGATTCGGTGGTCACGTGCTGCCAACCTCCACCTCGCAGGGGAGGAGGATGAGGTCAGGGAAGACTTTCTTGCCCACACTGACTTGACCAGCGATGCCAGCACCAGAGTGAAAAATGCCCCCTCCTATGACAGCCTGCGCTCAGAGGCTGATGCTGAAATAGTCATGCCAAAGGCAGCCAATCCCTGTGTACAAGCAGAAAAAACAGTTCCTCAGACCTGTGTCCTTGGGCCAGCCATTCGGACCTCTCTCAGTCTCTTTCCTTCTCCCTACACTTGGGCTGAATCCCACCTTCCCTGCCTGCCAGGTTTGGTTTGGGGTCCAAATGAGTGAAAGTCTGTGAGATGCCCCTAAGTACTGAGGTGCTTAGTAAGTGACAAAAGCCCCGATTTGTTGAACATGACGATGTGCCAGGCATTGCGCAAAGCATCATTTCACCATCACAATAAACACTGCTGGGAGTCAGGGACACCCCCACCCTCCTTGTACACCCAGAAGTAGGACTTTGGTGAAATGGCTGTCCTAAGGCCTCACAGCCTTGAAAACTCAAGCACTTCTTTAATCCCCAACAAGACTATCTTTTGGCCATGCAATGTGTCATGGCCAATAATTAGATTTGCAAACACATACAACCAAAGACGATTAGAGAAGAAATATATTCTATACAAATTACATGAAAATAACACTTTCACTATTTTCCTGATTTTTTCTGGTAATTAAAAATGATGGCCCTTTATATTTATTCACGGATACAGCTGCATTGTTTTTAACAAATTGTAGCCCCCCCTTTTAAAGAGTGAATTCGTACTAGTGAGAAAATAGTGTTATCCAAGATTTTAAGAATCTATTGTGTGGTGTGGTGTGTGTGTGTGTGTGTGTGTGTGTGTGTGTGTGTCGGATGGGTTTTCTAAAATATTTTTCTTGCATGCAAATGTGTAATTTTAAAGATTGGCTTTTAAAATACTGAACTGAGGTAAAGTCAGCTTTTCTTACAGACTCCATGATAAATGTGAAATTGAAAATGGAAATTCTCCATTCAGATTGTGTGCTGACTGCAACCTCAACATACGGATAAGTCACTGAAATAAGTAAACTTCCTCAAGGAATATGATGGTCAGCCTTTGTTTTGGGTACACATTTAATGAACTGATTTCCTATTAGTTTCTGCTTTTCAGCAAGTTGTGTCACTTGCTGATAAATATCCAGCCTTTTACTAAGGAACACTGATTTTCTCATCAAGTCTCAGTGTGTGGAGGGGGTGAGAGTTTGGTGGGGAAGCTTTTCAATTTGAGAAGCTTTGCCATTTTTTGTTTCAATCATGACTAATATATAAAAGTCCTTGGTCAGCATTGCCAGTTGCCACCTGGTCACTGCCTCCCTGAGGGGTAATGAGGCCATCCAGAGTTTTAATGATTAAAATATTTTATTATTTGTATTCACATCATCATTAAGAAAAATAACTTCTAGTGGATCAATATGGCAAATGAGTAAACCAGAAGATGGCGTTGAAGATTAGCAATTACATTTAAAAACAAGGTAGTGGTGTGAAGGCTCAGTTTCACGCAATGACTGTTGTTCTGAACTAAAAGCGGAGGATGTAGATGAGTGAGGGAGGGTATGTTGAAAATGACTAAACCCGGTGCAGAGGACACGTGTACCAAAGTGCAAACATTTGCCATTTTTATCCTTAGCAAACTCCTCTCTGGTACGTTTGTGAACGTTTGAGGGGAAGGTAACCATTGACTAAAATATAATGCAACAAGAAGGCAACGATCTTTGCTTTGTTCACTAATGTGTTCCAAGTGCCTAGGACAGTTCCTGACAAGTAGTAGGTGCTCAAAATATATTTGTCAAATGAACAAATCTGTGAAAGGAAAGGAAGAAAAACAGGTTGTGACCAGAACTTTTTTTGAACAAAACCCTGTTGTTTATTACATAGACTTTGGTAATGGAAAACTTACTTGGGTGAAATAAGAAATGGCATCCTGTTAATTTCTGAGAATGTCTGTTGGTTTTAGGAAAAGCACACCTGTCCATGCCTCACTACCTGTTTTGCTGTCGCCTAAACCTAGTTTCTTCTTTGCTTAGGAGACACTGACCCATCGTATAAGATTAAAACAAAAACTGAGAAATAAGTGAAATCAAAAGCTTTTCAAAAGTTGCAAGTTGACCTACGGTGGTGATGGTCTAAAATCATATAGAAACCAGTGATCTGATGGTTTACCTGAAAATGCGAAGTAAATACACATACTCAGCATCCCAGACCATCTGGTGAAAGCTCAACGGGTGAAAGCTCGGGGGGTTAATTTTGCGATTAAAGACATCCTGGAAAAGGATGTAAAATCGCTGGTCCACTTAAGTATGATTCCTATTTTGGACTATGACTTATTGATTTATTTTGAGACGGAGTCTTGCTCTGCCGCGCCGGGGTAGTGCAGTGGCATCATCTCGGCTCACTGCAACTTCAGCCTCCCGGGTTCAAGCGATTATCGTGGCTCGTCCTCCCAAGCAGCTGGGACCACAGGCTCCCGCCACCGCGCCCGGCTAACTTTTGTATGTTTAGTAGAGACGGGGTTTCACCATGTTGGCCAGGCTGGTCTCGAACTCCTGACCTCAGGTGATCCACCGCCTCGGCGTCCCAAAGTGCTGGGATTACAGGCTTGAGCCCCAGCGCCCGGCCTATTTTGGGCTTTTATACCCCACTAGGAAACCGCTTTCCTCCAGGTTGAGGTTAAAACCACATCATTTTAAGGTGGACTGAAGTCTGGACGTGATCAAGCACTTGGATCCTTGGGGATCTCTCCCCGCCGCCATCTCTTTTATGCTAAGATAATTCAAACTCTCGGGCCGGGGCACTGTCTGAGTCACTTCAATTCGCCAGCCTAATAGATGCGAAGGGATGTAAGCGTGGCAGGCGCGCAGACAGTGTTTGAATCAAGCTTGATCGCTCGCGGGAGGCATTTCCTATTTCTTCTTAGCGAGTGCGACGTTCTCCCAGCGCCGCGGAGGGGCAGGTTCTCGGTGCGGCCTCGCCAGGCGCCCCCGCAGCCCCCACTCCAGCTCCACGTGGACCCTCCTCCGCCCTGGGCTCCGCGCTCTGCAAAGCCGCGGCCCCTTCGCACCGGACTCCCGCCCCCGTCTCCCGCCCCGGCCACGTCGTCGGTGACTGAGCGGCCTCCGGAGCTCCCGGGGCAAAGGCGAGACTCGCACGTCGCACCTCGCCCTTCGCGGGCAACGGCCCGAGCGACAGTCCCCGGAGCGGGGCGGGGGTGCGCTCTCCGGGGGCGCGCGGGGGGCGCCCAGGACCGGGAACCCCAGGACTCACGCGGGTCCCGCGCTCCCCCGCCCGGCCCGGCTCCAACCCGCGGCCCCGGCCCCGCCGCCCGCCCCGCCCCAGGCCCCGCCCCGGACAGTTGTATAAAGTTCCTCTTTCCCACCTCGCGCTCTCAGTTCCACCGCTCGGGCTCGACCCACCGCTGCCCTCAGCTCCGAGTCCAGGGCGAGGTAAGGCTGGAGGCGGCCGGAGGAGGGTGCGAGGCGGATGCCACAGAGCGCCGCGAGCCGGAGGTTCCATCTCCAGGGCAGCGCAGGGTACCCGGCTTCGGGGCGGGCAGGGAGCGCGCCCGGTCCCGGAGCCCCGACTCCCCCCGATCCGCGCCGAGCCGGGGGCTCCAGGGCCCACCTCCCACCTCCCACCTCCCACCTCCCGGAGCGCGGCCCGAGCCCCGTCCGCTCTCGCCGCTCCCGCGCTGGGGTCGCCACAGGCTGGACGGGAGGAGCTCACGGGACTGTCGGGCCCAGGAGTGGCTGAGGCGGGGCCGTCCAAGGCACCCACGCGAGACGGCACAATTGCCCGCGAGAAACAGCGCCGAGCCTGTGGACCCCGGTCCGAAGTTCCTTCCCCTGCTCTCCGTTCCCAAGGGGCCCAAACTCACCGCGGCCTCCAGCGCGGCGCTCGCCCGCCAGGGCAGGAGGAGGACGCGCTCCCCACTCGGGTCGCCGCGAGCCCGGCGTGCGGTCCCTGCCTCCCCGGCTCCGCTCTCCCGGGCCTGCTCCGGGGTCGCGCGGGCGCTCTGTGCGCGGAATCCTCCGCCACTGGGCTGCAGCCCCCGCGTCACCGCCACTTGTTTGCAGAGCCCACTCGGTCCTCGCTGGCTGGGCGGGGATGGGGTCCTGTTCGGGGCGAAGGGTCTGGGTACGAGCAGAGAAAGCGGAGGGTGGAGGACCCCGGTGCTGCGCCCCTGGAACGCCCGGCCGCAGGCGAGGTCCCGGGGCGTGGAAAGGGACAGAGTCGCGGGGACGGGGCTAAAACGGTTTGGGGGTGAGCGAGGAGAAGCCAGAGCTACCAGTGAGTGCGGACGGGGGGCCGGGGGGGGCGGCTGGAGGGCAGGGGGTGCAAAACCAGCGGCGTGTGTCGGGAGCCTTTGGGCCGCGGGTGCGTCCCAGGAGCGCACAGGTGGAGCCGCGGGCAGGGGCCTTCGCGGGGGCCGAGCTCGGAAGGCGGACGGCTGTGCCCGCCCAGGGGATGCGCCCGGGCCAGCCGCGCAGGTGCCTTCTTCCGGGGCCTCGACGACCCTGACGCGCGCGCTTCGCAGCCTCAGAGACTCCGGGGCCTCAGGGGCACCCACACGGGTCGGCGGGGCCCCGGCGCGCTGCGCCTCGTGGCTGAAGGGCCGCTGTCCTCCCCGCAGCGCAGAGCAGAGCGGGCGGAGCACCCCGGGCGCGGGCGCGGACGGCACGCGGGGCATGAACCTGGAGGGCAGCGGCCGAGGCGCAGAGTTCGGCATGAGCGCGGTGAGCTGCGGCAACGGGAAGCTCCGCCAGTGGCTGATCGACCAGATCGACAGCGGCAAGTACCCCGGGCTGGTGTGGGAGAACGAGGAGAAGAGCATCTTCCGCATCCCCTGGAAGCACGCGGGCAAGCAGGACTACAACCGCGAGGAGGACGCCGCGCTCTTCAAGGTCTCCGGCCTCGGGAGCCGGCGGGGGCGCAGGGGAGGGGCCGGGGGTAGAGCCCGGGTCCGGCGCCCACTCCGCGGCGAGCCCAGGGCACCCCCGGGGCGGACCGGCGGGCAGCGGAAGCACCGGGTGGCACCGCCTGAGCCACGGGAGGAGGAGAGGAGGCCTCGGCTCCTAGGGGGACGGGAGCCGGCGCCAGGCCTGAGCGCGGGGGGCCTGCAGGGGAACCCCTGGAGGCCGGGCCTGGGGAAGGGCAGTCCAGGGCGCGAGGGGTTTGGTGGTTCGTCTGTGTGTTCCGGTGCCCACGCAAGCCTCCCACGCTTCCCCGGATTCCTGTCTGCCTCCGCCGTCAGTGGGTCTCCGTGTCTCGCGGCGCGTCCGCGCCTGTGCTCGTCTCTCTCACCGCGTCTGTCTCTGTTTCTCTTTCGCTGCTTTTCTCTGAGTCTCTCTGCGTGTGTTTCCTGAGGTCAGCCTGTCTTCTCTCTCCTGTTAGCTCTGCGGGAACTTCCACCTCTGTCTTTCTCTCTGTGTGTGTCTCTGTCTCTCTCTTTCCAAGTCTCTGGAGACCTCCCCCATCGCTCTAGAACTCAGGGCCTGCGTCTAGATCTGTCTCCCTTGCCCTTTGCGCACACACCTGTGTCCCTGTTAGGACTGGTTTCCCCTAAGGCAGCTTACCCAGAGAACCGTGCGTCTGGGCCCAGCCCCCACCTGCGGGCAGAGCAGGGGAAGGGGACTTCCTCCGGGAATTTGGTCTGAATTTGCTCTGAGTGCCTCAGCTGTGCGGCCATCCAGATGTCTCCTGTGGGCGGCAGCTCACACCACAGCTGTCCTGAGTCCTAGGCAGGCACACCTCAGACCCTGGGTGGGTAGAGCCCCCTCAAGGAGCCTCCGCATCTCACTCTGCCTTTTCTAAATACCCAGAAAATGTGTCTTCGGCTTGGCGGTGATAGGGTCCAAGATGGAAAATCATTTTCCTAGAGGATAGTTGGGGTCTTTCAGTTTACATTTTGAGCAACGGTGTAAATCTGAAGGACCTACGTACCATTCTTTGTTTTAGAAATACAATTTCAAGATTCCTTACAAAAGATCTGTCTTTTGGGTTTAGCGTGGTGGCTCACACCTGTCATCCCAGCACTTTGGGAAGATGAGGTGGAAGGATGCCTGTGCAATACAGTGAGACCCTGTCTCTGCAGAAAATAATCATAAAAATAAATTAGCCAGGTGTGGTGGTGAACACCTGTAGGCCCAGGGCCCAGCTACTCTAGAGGCTGAGATAGGAGAATCCCTAGAACTCAGGATGCCGCAGTGAGCTGTCATCGTGCCACTGTACTTTAGCCTGGGTGGCAGAGCAGGACTCTGTCTCCAAAAAGAAAACTAATAAACCAGACCTGTATTTTGACTTTGCATTCTCTTCATTCTTTCCCACCAGGCTTGGGCGCTATTTAAAGGAAAGTTCCGAGAAGGCATCGACAAGCCGGACCCTCCTACCTGGAAGACTCGCTTACGATGTGCTCTGAACAAGAGCAATGACTTTGAGGAACTGGTTGAGCGGAGCCAGCTGGACATCTCGGACCCGTACAAAGTGTACAGGATTGTTCCCGAGGGAGCCAAAAAAGGTAGGGGCTTTCCTGAATTTGGGTCACAGAACAGAGGCAGCCAGATCCTTGAGGCACCTTAACTTCATTCTGAGCATCACTTTCTAGCCTTCCTTTTGTATTGCCTGCCTGCCTTCTGCCTCACAGTGAGGCTCAGCCTCCCTGCCTGGGTTATGTGGGTCACAAGCTGAAGTTCCTGTGATGTTTCGCATAGGGGAATTAATCACACTGTATGCCTCAACGTATATGGGGGTGTGTGTGCATTGAATATGTGTGTTCCAGTTAGTCTTTCAAAAAAAAAAGAAACCTGGATAACTTGTTAAAATTTACTTATCTGATAGTCTTTAGTGAGTAACTATTTTGCAGAAGAGGGGTAATGAGAGGAATATCTCATTACCATCCATGGTAATAAAACGGTCAACTTTTAAAGTGTAACATGGTCAGCTGAGGTGCTTATTAAAAGTCAGATTCCTGGACCCTTCTTTTCAAGATTCTGACCAGTGTGTCTGGAAGAGAGCCCAGGAATCTGCATCTCGAACAAATCCTTCAGGTGACCTCGCTTGGGAAACATCTGGCTGGCGGGGTCCTTCGTGTCACAAGGCACATTCGCATGCCGTCGGTCCTGTATCTCTCTGCCTGTCCTGTACAACTCAGACCTTGCAGAAAAAAACCAGTTTAATAGCATGAACAAATAACTTCCCAAGGGAGTTGCTGAAAAATACCTTATTTGTCAACACCGTGTTATGCATTCTAAGAATTAAATGCTCAGGTATTTTTACAAGATTTGACATTTAGTTAGGTCAGTTCCTGTTTTTACTTTGTGCCATTTCCCTTTTCCCCAAACATGTAGGAGCCAAGCAGCTCACCCTGGAGGACCCGCAGATGTCCATGAGCCACCCCTACACCATGACAACGCCTTACCCCTCGCTCCCAGCCCAGGTATGGGGGAGGGCACTGGGCTCCCTGAGGGCGAGGCTGTGCGGGCCAGCTGCCCACGTGGCCAGAGAACCACAGCAGCCCAGACAGCAGAACTTGCCATTTGCTGTCGCTGGTCCAACCGCCCAGAGAAACCCCAGGTCACCGAACGAATGCCTCTCTTTCCACACGGCGCTGCCATTGGTGTGGGTCTTAAGTAGGGGAGGCTTGGGCGTGTCTGCCTGCTGGAATATGCTCCTCAGGTCTTCTGGGAAACAGCTCTTTTGTGGAAGTGGAAGATTTTGGAAGTAGTGCCTTATCATGTGAAACCACAGGGCAGCTGATCTCTTCAGGCTTTCTTGATGTGAATGACAGCCTTGTTTCATCCACTTTGGTGGGTAAAAGAAGGCAAATTCCCCTGTGGTACTTTTGGTGCCAGGTTTAGCCATATGACGAAGCTTTACATGAAACAGCACAAGTGTCTCCATTGTCCTTTATGATGCTCTGTGGTGTTTCCACCTAGTGTGATGAACGATTCCCTCCAGTCTTTTTGGATGATAAAATTCTTCGGCTGTCAGCCTAATAAGGGATTCCCTTAGGAGTCTGGAGGCTATAAGAGCACCCCCCTACCCACCATCTCAATGCCAGTGCTTCTTATCTCAGCCTCTCCTGTGCTCCTTTAGCAGGTTCACAACTACGTGATGCCACCCCTTGACCGAAGCTGGAGGGACTATGTCCCAGATCAGCCGCACCCGGAAATCCCGTACCAATGTCCCGTAACGTTCGGACCCCGCGGCCACCACTGGCAAGGCCCAGCTTGTGAAAATGGTAAGGAAGTTACCAGGGAACTAACTGCTAACTTGGCCATGGGCCACGGTGAATCCTGGTCTGTCCTAGGCAGCGCCAAAGCTCTTTCCCCTTCTTGGAGGCTGCGTGTGCAGCTCAGGGGAGAGGAGGGTTTTCTCAGTCCTGTGGGATGGTGGCATCCCACAGCCAAGTTTACTGTCAGGATCCATGCTAGGCACTGCCCTTCATGGGATCTTATTTAAACGCCACAGAGATCGCCCCAGGAAGTGGAAAACAGTCCCGCACTTTTTATATATAGAAGAGATCGTGGAAGCTTGTAGATAATAAGTAGGGATGCTGGGAGATTACTGAGCTGGTATGTTTCTCTCGAATAGTGGTGTGTTCACTGTTGCTATTGTTGGTATTAGAGGTGATACTAAAAAAGGAATGGAAAAATACCATGGGCAAACACATAAAACGTCTCTACAGGTGCCTACCTACCACTGGGTCCCAGAGAGACTCCTGATTCTGGATTAGATGCGGTCCCCTGCCCTCAGGAGTTCCCCAGATATCAAAATAAGCTCCATCCGCAGAAGCACTCATTAGCTAGGTGCAGAGAGAATCTCAGCATGCTGCAACTCAGGCTTTCAGGACTTTTTAGTTAGTTACTTAAATAGAAGTCCTGAGATGGGTCAACACATTGAACCCTTTGGATGTTTTAGGAATATTTGTTCCTTTGCAATTTGGCCTTTTTTCCCCCAGTCACGTTCAGGTTATCCATGGCTGCAGGTAGTGAAGAGGTGTACCGCTATTTAATGTTTGTATTGAGTGGCACGTTCACAAAAAAGCCCAGAATTCAGTGGGATTGGCTTTTCAAGAGGGATTTGTAGCAAGGGCTGGTTTCCAATATGGTAGTGGAGGAATCGGCTGACATAAAACTAGTTCCTGAAATTCAGACTTGTGTTCAGTGCTCTGGCTCTGTGGAATTAGTGACCATGGGAAAGAGGCGATGCCTGGAATTGTGTAAAGTGACGGAATAGGTAGAGACCTGTCTTGAAGCATTGGTAACAGTAAATGAAGCGGCAGTAAGAGCAGGTGTTCTATGCCACATTCTTCCTCCATTCATGTTTCCTACAACATTGTCTTCAGGAACATGGTTCAGTCTTCTCCCAACCCACAAGAGACAAGCAAAATAAACATGGACTAAACAATTTGTTACTTTTTAAATTGGGCTCTTTGGCACAAACTCAAGTGGACCTGAACTCTCAGCTCTGTTGTAAACCCGCTTTGTGAACAAGGACAAATCACGTCATCTGTCTCTGAGCCTCAGCCTCTCTGTGGGTCAGTTACAGAGAGAGCGCTCCAAGATTCCTTTCAAAGCCACGCACTGGCTCGTTTCTCCCTCAGCTTTGGTTTTCCAGCTGGTCTCCGGCTCGTCTTTGCCTCACAAGAGTGTGCCCTGCTAGTCGCTGGTGCTGGGAGTGGGCGGGAAGGTGACTGGGCGCCAGCCCCTTCCTTCCCAGGCTTCACACACACACCCCAGGAAGCCCTGCAGTGCGTCGGACTCTCTGTCTAGACATCATCTGACTTTTATTTGCAAATGCAGGTTGCCAGGTGACAGGAACCTTTTATGCTTGTGCCCCACCTGAGTCCCAGGCTCCCGGAATCCCCACAGAGCCAAGCATAAGGTCTGCCGAAGCCTTGGCGCTCTCAGGTGAGTGCAGGGTTTGCTTCTGGAGGCACCGCAGGAGGCCAGCCTCTGCCGCCAGCTCTGTCATCTTTGGGCAGATTCAATGGGACTTTAGACACTTGCTTTGCTCCCCCGGGGTCTGGAGTAGATGTGGACACATCCTGTGCGTGAGGTGACCAGAGTGAACTAGGAGCACCATTGGAAAGACCCAGCATCACTGCTTGTGGTTCTGCTGACGGTTTCAGCCACTGGCTTGAATGGAGTCATTCTGGCTTCGTCACTGGCACCTCTCCGAATTTCCAGGAATGTGCAAACACTCCAGTTTCCTTTACCAAGGGCCCCTCTCCAGCCAGCGTTCTCTGTGCGGAAGTGTGGAAGGGCTTGTCATTTGGAGAGGCTGATCGTCCTTCCGGGTTGAGCCACAAATGAGTCCTCCTCCTCTGCTCCCTGGGGACATTAGTTCTGGTCCCTCGATGACATTGATATGCCTAAAAGTAATACACATTTTGGTCTTTCATGTCGCTTGCAAACAAATATGGATTCAACCTGATTTTTAAGTTTTATTTAAAAAAAGAAAAAGAAAAAAAAGTCCTGCATCATAGAGATCTTACCTGTTGTAAAAAAGGCACCCTTAGACTTGCCAAGCATATGTGCTGTATGTCTAGTCATTTTTTAGATAATATTTTGGATTGTTTTTAAGGTTTGGAATTCTCATCTTGCCCTTTGGCAGCTTTAAAAATCAGTGATGAAAAATACTAACTAAATTCTGAAGGTTTCAGGGAGACGAGAGTTGTGGCACTACGGCTGCACACGGGGGCTGGAGTTTTACCTGCCCGCTCTTTCTAGTTCTGAATGAGGCTTGCACCTTTTTTTCTGAGATGCTCGTGAGTACCGAGGATGCCCTTTGGGAGGAGGTGCTTCTGAGCAGGAAGGCTTGTGTTTGTTTTTAGAAACTTTCAAACCCTTTTCTTGAACACCTAAGACTTGTGTGGGTGCCTGAAGAGTAGGAAATAAACAGCTATTTATATCTCTGCAACCTCGTGATTTCTGATGACATTAAATGAAATGAAACCTGCCCCGAGAATCACCTCGAATGGCCAACACCCACTCTCTTTGGGGCGCACTGTCTGACTCGTTCTCCGTGTGTTGAAGCAGAGAATTGAGACAGTGATGTGGGTTAAGTCTCAAAACCTGCTATTGAGGAGTAAGACAGTTTTGTGGGTTTCTTTTTTTTTTGGTATGCATAATACAGATTAATTATCAGCCATGAGCACATTTGTTAGAGAACTGTGATTCCCACTGATTGTGGGGTCCCATACAGTTCCCAGTGGCGACTGCCCCTGTCTGTGCCGCTCCCCTGCAGTCTGGCTGAGGAGCTTATGCAAACCTAGCTTGGTTCTTTCAACTCATGGGCGATGTTTCAAAGAGGTTTCTGAAATCAGCCAAACGTTTGTAAATGGATTCATCTTGTTTAAAGTTTCAGAGAGTTTTAGAGTTCTTTTCAAACTTAAACACAAAGCCCAGTGGGAATTTCAGCAGACTTTACATGAACTTTTAGAGCATTTTTCTCATTAATTTCTTTCTTTTCACAAGAATTAATTTTGTGATAAAAACATCACATATCCAGTGTGGAAAACTAATTTAAAAATCAGAAAAACAAGAATGGAAAATAAAAACGTCACATTCCGCCACCCAGAAATCACCATTAAGGCCTTAGTACTTACCCTTTAATGTGTATATGTGTGTGTATGTTTATATATAAACTATATAGACATAAATAAGCAGCTAATTATATATATAACTTACATATATGTATACACACACACACACACACACTTGCTTTTACCTAAATGATGTCATATTATTATTTTGAGGACCTTTCAGGTTTGTGGACAGACTTGCTTCTTTCTGAAACACCGTCATATTTTTTGCTAGTAGAAATTAAACTTAGGGTTCATTTCTTACCAGAGTAAAAACTGATTTGCTTAAAGATGAATTTTCATTCAGTGACACATGACTTAAATGTCATCACCACTATCATCATCATCATTCACAGTAAGACTTAGTAAGTTCTTAATGGTGATGATCTATAACCTGAATTCAACTTACTTTTCCAGAAAATTAATGAAAGACACACTCGTCCCTTAAAAAAAGAGTCTGTGGCCACATACATTTGAAATACTCTGGTTTAGACGAATTAAATGGGTGTTTTCCACGGGATTTCTCTAAGTGTTGATCTCGGGGGGAAACAGGGCATGTGGCGTCTCCCAGGCCTCCTGGACGCCAGAACCTTTTGCTCCTCCACGGAGCCTGTGGGACAGTCGAGTTCCACTGCAGGTGCTTGGCTCTGTGGAGTCGCTGGCCTCGAGCTGGTGTCCTCGGCCCCCAGCACTGACCCCGGGGCTCTGTGTTTGCAGACTGTCGGCTGCACATCTGCCTGTACTACCGGGAAATCCTCGTGAAGGAGCTGACCACGTCCAGCCCCGAGGGCTGCCGGATCTCCCATGGACATACCTACGACGCCAGCAACCTGGACCAGGTCCTGTTCCCCTACCCAGAGGACAATGGCCAGAGGAAGAACATTGAGAAGCTGCTGGGCCACCTGGAGAGGGGCGTGGTCCTCTGGATGGCCCCCGACGGGCTCTACGCGAAAAGACTCTGCCAGAGCCGGATCTACTGGGACGGGCCCCTGGCGCTGTGCAGCGACCGGCCCAACAAGCTGGAGAGAGACCAGACCTGCAAGCTCTTTGACACGCAGCAGTTTTTGTCAGGTGAGGCACTTCATTCTGTTAGAACGGAGGTGGTGATGGCCCGCCTGCCACAGGGGTCAGAAACGACAGGGTCCCTCTCACCCCAGGCTGAGGTCTTCCTCCTGTTGACGCCGGAGCCCACCGGGCTTGGGGCTTGGCCCCAGTAGAGATCTTCTGTCTGGCTCCGTTGAGGGCAGAGAGTCCGGATCAGATGGTCCAGGTGGACGGTGGCTCAGGCTGTACTCTTGCAATTCTGGTTTTCAACAGTCACCTCTTAACACAGTTCTGTTTTATTGCACTGTGATCTCAACAAACACGTCTGCTGATGTGACGGCTCTTTTCAGATTCCCAGAAAAATCATAAAGGTTAGAAGCATATTGTTAACATTCTTGGTTGTGAGAGGGGTCACCCTCATGCAGATGCCACCCCACGAGTGAGACGGAGGGTGGAGCGGACCGTACTGGTTCTGCACAGGAGAAGTTACAGGAGAGTGCTATGAGTGGGCTCTGTGATATGAACATTTCTAAGCATAGTTTTCAGAACCAGTGAGTTTTGTTTCTCTCCCTTGGATTTCATGACCATTCAGTGAAGCTCTGGCTGGCTTCTGTGAAGCCCCTGGCCCTGTCCCGCTGGGCTTCCTCCCAGGCTTCGTGTGGCCGTCCAGGTGGAGGGAGCCTCCCACGAGGGAGGGAGCTGCTCTACCTGCCACCCCACCGCCAACTCTTCCTCCGCCTTTTCCCAGCCCTGTTCCTTCCCGAGCCCCTTCAGAAACTCCTGTGTCTTTGGTTTTTCCTGTGCCTCCCTTTTCTTGAATGTGCTTCTTCATTCCACTTATTTAAAATAAAAACAGGACCCACCTCTGTGCCCTGGCACTGTGGACACGTGCTCTTGCTTTTGGGCGTAAGTGGCCCACGTTTGTGTAAGCTCATCCAGATTTTCTTTTGGTGCCCAAAGCAAATGTGTCCCTAGATAACTAAGCTTCAGGCTGGGTGCGGTGACCCGTGCCTGTAATCCCGGCACTTTTGGGAGGCTGAGGCGGGCAGGTCAGTTGAGGCCAGGAGTTCGAGACCAGTCTGGCCAACATGGCAAAACCCCGTCTCTACCAGAGATACAAAAATGAGCCGGGCGTGGTGGTGCGCACCTGTCGTCCCAGCTACTCAGGAGGCTGAGACCTGGGAGGCGGAGGTTGCAGTGAGCTGAGATGGCACCATTGTGTTCCAGTTCGCAGGACAGAGCAAGAGTCCATTCCGGCCCCCACCCCCACCGCCAAAAAAAAAAAAAAGATAACAAGATAACTAAGCTTCACACAGAGGCTGACAATAGGAAGAGGGAGAACTGTGCAGGTTCCCGAGGTGAGGAGGTCACCTCGGGCTGGACACCTCTCATTCTAAGGGCAGCACCATCCCCAGTCCCCGGCCAGGGCGGTCCCATCCTTCTTGGGGCTGGGCGTGGAGTTCATGGGGAAACCAAGGAAATTGAAGGGCAACTGGGGAGACCCCCCGTCAGCCTCTCCTGTGTCTGCCTTGGGGTCTGGAAGAGCTCACATGGGCCAGGAAGGCTAAGGCCCAGTGGGCCTGGATTTCTGAAGACTCTGGACCTTGGTGCCAGTGGTTTCGGAAGATGCCACAAGGTGAGGGCTTTCTAATGAAGGTGTCACAAGGAACAGGCACCGTCTTCTCCGAGTGCCTCTTGCCAGGCGTTTTTAGGGAGGTGGAGCCCCCATGGTGACTGAGCTGGAAGGTGCACTCTGAGTCACAGGTGCACTGCGTGAGAGAAGGCACAGGCGGGGGCGGACGCCTGTGAGTGTCCTGGGGCTGTGGACTTGCAAGCCTAGAACTTACTATTAATCTGTGCGCAAGAGCTGGTCTTGGTTTTCATTCCTTCCTCTGTGACCGAGGGCTGTGCTCTGTGCCCACTGCAGCCTCTCACCTCGATGTGTTCGCTGAGGTTCAAGGAGGATGCTGTGAACGTAAAAACTGCGGCCGTGCCGACCAGCGTCTGCATAATTAAGGATTCCCACCAAACGCTCGCATGTTATCTAGGGTCGGAGGCAGGCTTTTTCAGAGAATTGTGCCACCTCGCCATTCTGACTAGCCTGTGTAGGTGTAGTCTCAGATCATGGCAGTGTGAATGTGTTTTACACATTCTGACTAAGTCATTTGGGTTTGATTTGAATTCTGGAAAAAAAAAAAAAAGCAGGAAGTCAAGCAGTCCTGTAAGTTAGCTAGAAATTTCTGTTCAGTTGAAGAGAACAGTGGAGATCTCTGATATCTCCCTATTCAGGTCTGCACAGCACTAGGGACAGCCCCGGGGCACGGCCCGAGGGTGTGTGTCTGATAGGGACACATCTGCTCTGCAGAAGCTTTAGCAGCTCCTGTGTCAACTGGTTTCTTTTGCGGGCTTGACATTTTATTGTAGGTACAGGCAGAAGATTTGCCTTGTGTACGGGGAGGGGACATGGGCTAAAGTCAGGGGATGGGCACTCGTCTTTCCAACAATGTTCCAGTCCATTTCGTATCTTTTGGGTAGGTGTGGTGGCTTCAGGAGGTATTTGTGCGTATCCACAAGCCGGAGGCCGGGGGGCTGCCCCACTCCCCTTCTCAGGTCAAGTTACTGTTCTGTCCCTGGAGATAGGCACGAGTCTAGTCAGAGTCACGCAGTTCAGGCACAGTGACAGCGGGACTCAGCTGCCGAGGGCTGGTGCTAGTCACCACGTTGATGTTACGTGTTTTCTGTGGTGCCTGAGTTACGTGGATATCCGCAGTAGCACAGACACTGGATTGTGTGGGCTCTGTAGGGACGGGATGAGGTTTTAAAATGATCCCAGGATGTCAAAACATTCTGATTTTTTAAAGGAAAACTTGTCCATGGCATAAATCAGTCTTTTGCCATTGCGTGACTATGTTTCTCGTCCTTTATCTCCCAACTTCACTGCGGTCTACTACCTTTTGAATCTTCGTGGGCCCAGTGCTGCAAAGCAGTGTGCTTTAGCTGTCGACTAGTTCCTCTTGAAGCATCGAGGGAGACCGAGGGCCCTGGGGAAAAAGCGTACATGCTATTTTGTATCTGAGATGTTCACATCAAGGGCCCTAGTCAGGGAAGTAAAGAGGGCTCATTCCTCTTGCATGTTCAGAATCATAGTAAGCTCTTGCTTCCTGTTTAACCTGGTGTGTTTGGTGATGAAGGTTTCTGAACATGGTCTTTTTCTTGTGGGCTTCCACAGAGTTGCAAGCGTTTGCTCACCACGGCCGCTCCCTGCCACGATTCCAGGTGACTCTGTGCTTCGGAGAGGAGTTTCCAGACCCTCAGAGGCAAAGGAAGCTCATCACAGCTCACGTGAGTCTTCAGTTACGATCACACCATAGTGGCTTCCTGTTCTTTGTAAAGGGCAGAGTTTCATTTAGAAAAGTCCCAAATGAAAAGTAAATGTCAAATGACCTGGAAAAATAAGCGTAACCCTTAAACTAATGAGGGAGGAAGCATGGTCCAGCAAGCAGCACAGTCTGAGGACCCACGTGCTCCTCCCAGACCTGAGATCTGCTCGTCAAAGACCCAGGGAGGACAGCCTCAGTGGAGGGTGCCTCTCTCCCCATCTTTTTTATTTTTCAGGAAAGTTGTCATATTTCCATTTTACAGGGATTGAAAAAGATTGATGGTCAAAGCTGCCCTTTAAAATTCTCCATGCTAAGATGGCTCTAAGAATGCTGTCTAGCTAGTGGGTCTTCATTCAGTGGAAAAGCTTTTCCCAGATGGGAAACTGTCCATTCCCTGGAGGCATTTTGTGGGTCTGCATGTGTGTCCTGGCACCTCTTTCATTTCTGGAATTTTAGAAATTATTTAATTATTGGGCATATGATATTTGAAAGAGGCTGAATCTTTCAAGGAATGCAAGTAAATCAGACCCTCATAATGTTCTCTAGTGTGGTTCAAGATGGGTTCAACGGTGGCAAGTAATGCTAAAGGGTTAGGGTTAGGATTAGGGTTAGTTTTCTTTTTTATGAGAAAAGGTTTCTATAGATAACATGAAGCATTAATTTGCCACGGAAAACAGAATCTTGAACCCTTAAGACTTTTGAATTTGAAAACTTCACATTGCTACGTACTTGCAAGCGTCATTAATGGGCTTGCATGGTGAGCAATACCAGGTAAAACTTACACCCCTAACATCAAAATTCCCATCATATTGTAGCTCTGATGCTGTTTCTCATTGAGAACTGAAATGAAACATGGTTTAATCTTGAACATACAACCCCCCTTCTTGATTTTGAAAACAAAGACCAACCCACCAACCAATGTGTAATCCCATAGACTGAGGATTTCTCATGAGTTCTCTCCAGTGATTGACTTAACAATTGCTATGATTGTTGAAATCATAACTGATATGTTGTTAACAACAGGAATTGCTAAATGACTAAATAAACTAGGCATTGATAAGCAGCATTTAAGAAGTTGATGATCGGCCAGGTGCGGTGGCTCACGCCTGTAATCCCAGCACTTTGGGAGGCCGAGGTGGGCGGATCACGTGGTCAGGAATTTGAGACCAGCCTGACCAACATGGTGAAACCTCCCTCTACTAAAAATACAAAAATTAGCCAGGTGTGGTGGTGCGCACCTGTAATCCCAGCTACTCAGGAGGCTGAAGCAAGAGAATCACTTAAACCCAGGAGTCAGAGGTTGCAGTGAGCCGAGATCGCACCACTGCACTCCAGCCTGGGCGACAGAGTGAGGCTCTGTCTCAAGAAAAAAAAAAAAAAAAGAAAACAAAAGAAATTGATGATCAGCTCAGCTATACATCAGTCCAATTTTAAGGTTGACTTGGATGAAGTTGCCGTCCTCTAAGTCAGGGAAAGATGGATCCCCAGATGATCCCGTCATCCTGAAGACGAGGCTGTGAGATCCGTAAAATGAATAAACACACATGTACACCTATGAGTTCCACTTTTAAAAGTTATTAATTTAATTCATTTCAGGTACTCAGGAGTTTTGCTTAAGTCGCTATATATAAAATATAGACTTTAATATCGTGATTGATGGAGAGCATTCAGCTTGCCTTAGATGCTGTAAATTCAGGAAAAGCTGAACGTTAAGGTGTTTTTGTTTTTTGGTGAGCGTGATTCATGCTACTAACCAGACGGGATAAATTTGAGGCCAGTTAACTTCTCTTTTTCCACAAGATAGTTTTGTTGTTGTTTAACTTTACTTTTTATTTCTTTTACCTCTGGTTTAGAACGATACCGATTACCTAGAAATCAAATCATTCAGGATGAGCCCTTGTTTCTTTCAAACTGCAGTTGTGGAAAAACAAAATCATTGGCCTAAATTACCCTGAGATTACCTCAGACTTCCTTTTAATTTAATCACTTTACTTGATTTGATTCAGTTTTAGTTAAATGTACATTTTAAGTGGCAGCTGATTTAAAAGTAACATCTTTAACCCAGAATTAAGTCGCTTTGGCTGTTTTTTTACATGTTGATCTATGGAAGGACTAACAAAAAAATTGCTTCTTTAGATGGCTCCATATATGAAATGTTTTGATGTGTTCTAGGACGTAAGCTGGGGCTTTACATTACCGTCTCCTTAGAATCTGAGCGCTGTTTAATAGTGAGCCAGTTGCGGGATATCTCAGTAATGTCTTTTTAAAAATCTCTTATTAAAGGTAGAACCTCTGCTCGCCAGACAATTATATTATTTTGCTCAACAAAACAGTGGACATTTCCTGAGGGGCTACGATTTACCGGAACACATCAGCAATCCAGAAGATTACCACAGATCTATCCGCCATTCCTCCATTCAAGAATGAAAAATGTCAAGATGAGTGGTTTTCTTTTTCCTTTTTTTTTTTCTATTTTTATTTTTTATTTTATTTTTTTGATACAGGGTCTTGCACCGTCTCCCAGGCCGGAGTGCAGTGACACGATCGCAGCTCACTGCGACCTCCGCCTCCCAGGTTCAAGACACTCTCCTGCCTCAGCCTCCCTGGTAGCTGGGATTAAGGTTTGAGCCACTGCACCCACCCAACACAGATGATTTTCATTGTAAATATTTGACTTTAGTGAAAGCATCCAGTTGACTGCCCTCTTGCTGTTTTGAGGAACTCGGAAGTGAAGATTTCAGTGCAGTAGCTGAGGAGAATTGCCGCCAGACAATTGTGGAAAATCAGTGACATCTGATTGGCAGATGAGCTTATTCTGAAAGGAAGGTGGCTTTGCACTTCTTGCGCTCTCTAGACTGCCGTCATTGATGATCACTGTGAAAATTGACCCCGTGATGTGTTTACATTTGCTGAAGTGTGTTCTTTAATTTGGTGTAGACTAGGTCTTGCTGGAGGACTGAGAACACTTGCCTTTCAGTGTTGACACTGACTGGAGCGATGACTGCTTGCAGGTGTGTCTGTACCATTTCTCAGGGAAGTAAGGTGTAAACAGAAGAAGCCTCACACATAGAAGAAATGTATTAATGTATGTAGGAGCTGCAGTTCTTGTGGAGGACACTTGCGGAGTGAAGGAAATGGAATCTTTGACTGAAGTTGTGCCTGTAGCCTGGGGGAGGCCCCTTCCCCACCTGCCAGTGGTTTCCTGGTGTGGGCCCCTCTGCCCCGCCCTCCTTCCCACGGGCTTCTCTCCTTGGCCTTCCCTGGAAGTCAGTTAGTTCTTGTGCCAAAAAACAGGAGAGTTCCTCTTGGATAGGACATTTTTGTCTGTCCTACTATCTAGTAATGTCTAAGTGACGGTTAACTTTTCTTGTTTCTGTGTCTTTTTGTCCCTCATTCTCTAGAAATGCTAAAATTCTTCTCATAAAGAAGAAGAAATTAAGGCGCATATATCTTACTACCTGAACTGTTGCCCTTCTGTCCAAGTACTAAGCCGTCTGTTCCCCTCCTCTGTGCCACTCTCGTCTGTCTGTCTGGCTGTGCACTGATCAGCCTCGGTGACACTAAAGGAGGAGGAGCTGGGACTCACAGGCTGGCGAGCACTGCCAGGAGCCGCCGCTGGAAGCAGGATGGAGCTGGCTGCGGAGCTGCACACCCAGTGGGCTGTTTCTGCTTTCATCTGTTCTGTGCTTCCTCACGCCGATTATAGTTTGACAGGGTCTTAAAACTACTTGGCTTTTTACAAATGCATCTATTTATAGAATCCCAAAGACCTCCACTTGCTTAAGCCAACCTGAAAAAAGGAAAACATCTTTGTGGTTTCGAGAAAGTACAACGGTGTAGATGGGGGCGTCTCCCCCAGGGTGTTTCTCATGCTGCAGGATATTTCCTATCACTCCCAGGGTCCGCAGACTGTGTAGCTCTCAGAAGTGCGGTCCTGCTTTTCTAATCGGTATTTTAAATGGATTCAACAAGCGCATAATAGGTGCCTGCTGGCCGGGCGCGGTGGCTCAAGCCTGTAATCCCAGCACTTTGGGAGGCCGAGACGGGCGGATCACGAGGTCAGGAGATCGAGACCATCCTGGCTAACACGGTAAAACCCCGTCTCCACTAAAAATACAAAAAATTAGCCGGGCGAGGTGGCGGTGCCTGTGGTCCCAGCTCCTCGGGAGGCTGAGGCAGGAGAATGGCCTGAACCCGGGAGGCGGAGCTTGCAGTGAGCTGAGATCCCGCCACTGCACTCCAGCCTGGGGGACAGAGCGAGACTCCGTCTCAAAAAAAAAAAAAAAAAAAAATAGGTGCCTGCTGTATCCATACATGACACAGTTCAGCCTTTATCAAGCTTAGTGAGCAGTGAGCACTGAAACATCATTTTTTAATGTTTAAAAAGTTTCTAATATTAAAGTCATATGTATTAACTACAGAAAAGACAAACAGTAGAGAAGAGCAAAAAATAAAAAGCATCTCCTTTATTCCCAGCGCAAATTCTCCTCTCTCAAAGGGTCTCCAAGCAGGGGTGTTTACTCTTCCAACACATTCCACTTTTCTGTAAATATGCATAAACTTAAAAAGAAAACCTCATGGGGTCATCTTGCACACACTTTCATGCCGTGCTCTTCGTAGCTAACAGTGAAGATGTACCTCGTTCTGCGCAGAGGCCTTGCTGTGGAGCTCCCCTGCCTTGCACCCAGTAGGGTTTGACATTTCATTAGCCATGCAACACGGATACGTATTGGGGGCACACTGTGTTTCGTGAACTGCAGTGATGTATGCATCTTATAGATGCAAAGTGTTTTGGGGTATATTATCCTAAGGGAAGGTAAAGATGATATTAAGAACTGCTGTTTCACGGGGCCCTTACCTGTGACCCTCTTCGCTGAAGAGGAACCCCACACAGCACTTCAAAGAAGCTGTCTTGGAAGTCGGTCTAAAGGGCATCTTGTCTTCTTAATTCTCCAAGCGGATGCCCCATTTCAGTTGCTTTGTGACTTCTTCTTCTTTGTGTTTTTACATATTGTGCTGCTTTAACAGTGGAGCTGAATTTTCTGGAAAATCCTTGTTGGCTGGGGCCACTACCTCCTTTCTTATCTTCACATCTATGTGTTTGTTGACTTTTTAAAATTTTGAGTGGTCCAGGGTATGACCTAGGGAATAAACTAGCTGTGAAATACTCAGGGTCGGGAATCCTAGCACTTGTCTCAGGACTCTGAAAAGGAACAGCTTCCTCATTCCTTGTCTTGATAAAGTGGAATTGGCAAACTAGAATTCAGTTTGTACTCAGTGGACAACGCTGTTGAAGAGTTTGGGGACCTTGTCATGTTAAAGAGCATTGGGTCACATGGAAAAAATGTACGTGTCTCCCAGGTGCATTTCTTGGTTGATGTCTTGTTCGTGAGATTTTGTATATTAGGAGAACCTCAAGCAGTCATTAATATCTCCTGGAACACTGTAGAGAACCAAGTGACCGACTCATTTACAACTGAAGCCTTGGAAGCCGCTCCGTTAAAACCTTGGAAGCCCTCTCCGTCCTAAGCGAAAACTGGAGAGTTCGTCGCCCTGCGGACAACCCAGCTAGACTATTGGGTATGAGCTAAAAAGAGACTGCGCCATGGTGAGAAAACATGTAAAATCCTACCGTGGAATGAGCAGCCCTTACAGTGTCATTACCGCCAAGGGCAGGTGGGTGTTGGTGTTTGAAAACGATGGTCTTTGGGTGAGGGCATAACTGCAGCAAGTCCCAGGGTGGAGCGACTCTGGGCGTCTTGGGTGCTCGCGCCTCTTGGCTTTGCGAATGCTCCACCAGGAAGGCCACTGTGTGTGTGCGTGTCAGTTACTTTTCTAGTAACAATCAGATCCGGTGTAAACTTCCTTTCATTGCTCCCCAGTCACATGCCCCCACTCCCCCACCGGTGAAAGTTTTTCTGAAAGCTCTCGGATTGGTTAAGGTCTTTATTTGTATTGCATATTTCCCCAAGTCTTCCGTGGCCATCTGCGTCTGTCTGAATGGTGCAAGAAGGCTGCCAGACCTTACGCACCGGTTTGCATGTTATGTTTTACCTGCCCTGTTTTTGAGACAGATCCTAAATGTCGGTGGATCTCCTTGAGATCCTTATAGCCTATTACATTAATGAAGTAACGGTCAGTTTTTCTTGTATTGATTTTCACAGCTTTAAGGAACATGCCTGAGAAATGTAGCTGAAGTAGAGGGGATGTGAGAGAAGGGCCAGGCCAGCAGGCCAACCCTCCTCCCGTGGAAATTCCCATGTTGTTTCAAACTCTGAGATAGATGGGACTTAACAGGCAGTGGGGTCTGCGTCCCCCTCTTCAGCACCCCCTGTGCCCCACTTTCTGCTAAATGAACTGCTGGCAGGTGGGACCTCAGAGACCCCCAGCTGAAAGCTTGAATTTCGCGTACTGGCTCTGTGTGTTGCTGAGGTCTGTAGAAAGCAATGCATCACAAACTAAGGTGGTCAATGCTATGCTGCCATTGGTATACATTGTGAATTTTTATGTAAATTGCTCTGCAAAGCAAATTGATACGTTTGATAAATTTATGTTTTTAGATAAATAAAAACTTTTAAAAATTTGTTATGGAACGTGTGTGTGTTATTAAACACGCATCCTGATAGCTGTTAAAGCACTTTCTCCTGTGGTTACGCTCCTTCAGAGAGGCAGCTGTATGTGTCCCTGAAATCAGACCTCCACGTGTTCACCTTGTAAAAGAGACAAACGCTGCCCCAGTGCCGGGCGGCTCCTCCCGCACAGAGCGTCTGTGAAGAGTAATCGTCCTGCTCTCCCGTTGGCCTCTGCCTCCTCTTCCTTTACCTGTACTTTAAAAGATTTAGGGCTTTCAAGGAAGTTGTTTTTAATGTTTTCTTTTGTTTATATTTGAAGCTCCTCTGATTTTGGTCATTGCTAAAAAAAAGGGATATAGGTTAACATTCGAAATGTGAAAAGCGAATGGAAAACTTTGGTAAAGAGAACAGGATTTAGATGGAACCCCTGGGGATCTGTACGTCTGCTGTTGACCTCAGCTCCAAACTCTTCCTCTCTCTGAGCAGCCAGGCAAGGGAGTCTCCTTTCTCAGCTTCATCGCTTCTACTGATTACATGGCTCAGCTCCTGTGCACCTGCTCTCTTCCAGTCCAGCAGATTACATGGTTCAGCTCCTGTGCACCTGCTCTCTTCCAGTCCAGCAGATTACATGGCTGGAGCTGTCCTGTGCACCTGCTCTCTTCCAGTCCAGCAGAAAAACCCAAAGAGCTGCTGGTGCTAAAATCCTTGCAGCTGAAGGTTACATGGAGCTGTCACAAAAGTTTGTAGTTTGGGTCTAGAACCCCCCTAGAATAGGAGATTAGCATAATTTTGATTTTGCTAAATGGTAACTAAAGGAGAGGAAATATAATTTCTAAACCCTCGTACGTTCCGTTGAGACACCTTCCTGAAAACAGAAGTCAGATTAACAGAAAAATCAGCAGGTGGTGTGTGCTGTCCTTATCATATGGAAGAGATCGCAGTTCAAAAGTATCTCTCTCAAGGCAGCGGCGTAAGGGTCTTGCTTAAATGGTGTTTTAACAAAGATCAATAAGTCTTCACATAGTGACAACACAAGGGAGACAGCAGCACCAGAGTTTTAAAAGGGACGAAATGAGAGAAGGTAGAAAATCTGTTTCCAGATTCCACTGCTGCCTTCTCTGGCAAGTGCTGTTCCCAGGAAGGAAGGATTTACGTCCCGACCTCAGGAAAACAGGCTTCAGCAGAGCGCTTCCCTGCAAGTTCAGTGTTCCTAACTTAACAATTCTCAGTATTTTGGGGAGAAATATTTTGGTTTCCTTCAGTCTCCCCTTGAAACTTTACTTTCAGAAATTTCACATGTTAAAAGCTAAGTTGGTAGTTTTGGAGAGACTTGGGTTAGAAGTTTTAAGATAAGAGATTTGGCAAAGCAGGAGAAGAACACAGTTTGGAACAAGTAGAAAGCAACGCGTTTGGGTGCATTGATCCATCTCTTATTGTATCAGTCTTTCAGTCCTGAAAATAGGTCATTTCCGTTAAATCATTGCATCCCATTTCAGAGGTGGTGTAAGCGGGTTTCCATCAGAGTTAGGTCTCCATATGGTGTAGGCAAACAGGTACTTTATCGGAGACATTTCTTTGGAAACAAAAAGAAAACAAAGGTCTATGTTTCAAGCAGTCTATAAGCTAGTTTCTGGAGAGCAACCAGCGGAGATTTCTAGATTTGGGTTCAAACAATTTAAGTTGGAGTGGACAGGCAATCTGACAGATTGTTCTGGATTATAGTTTGCATCAGACGTTCCAGTGAAGTTTTTGTGCGTAAATAAATTGTGATGATTTCTCCGAAGTTTATGTCAAGTTATCCAGCTTTAGTTTGCAGGGCTTCGGGAAAGGCACGGTTTTAATTTTTAGTAATTTTAAGTCAGAAAAGTGGGAGAAAGTTAGGAATGTTAGTCTGAAGAACCGTAGCAGGTATTAGAGGAAACTAAAAATTCGGGATTCAGTCCAGGTAATTTTTTAAAACTCTGAAACAATGGACAGGGCTAGAATCTAATAACAGCTATAATATAGCTATTCTGAAACATAATTTTTCTCTTTACAATCACCTCCCTGTTTACCAAAGATAATCAAAGTAAGTCCAATTTACTTAAAAAATAAGTTTAGTGTCATTATATTTAACCTGATCATTTACCTAAGTACAGCAAGAACAGTGCTTTAACATATAAGCTCTTTTTAAGTTGGATTTGCTGGAACTTTTTGTAAAGAATTTTATTAGATTAGAACACTAAAACCCTCTCCAGGCCAGGAAACTGTGCCACAGACTTACCAACATATTTTATCTGAGATACCTGGCTAAAATCTTTTTCTTGAGGTCCTCAAAATGTTTTTGAGGTTCCTGGGCCTGTCAGAGAATGACATTATTTATTTACTGCAAGGCTAGAAGTGCTGGAAGGGCACCACATAGTTCAAGAACAAAGTGCCAGGCCAGTTCTTTCAAGGTTGTTCTTGGCTGCTTAAAGTTAATGCTCATTCCTTAAAGCAGTCTGGTCATATCTGAAAAACTGACATCCCAGTCCTAGCCTTGGTGATATAACCTGTGTTTCCAATCATTCCAATCCGAAGAGAGCAGATTCCTAGTGAACTTATGCAAATAACTATCTTGCCATAAAAATACAATTTCTCACATATAGTTTTTAAATCCTGGAGGGCTTGGGTAAAGAAAAAGACAAATGTTTCAATATTTGTGCAGAAAGATATACTTTACAAAATTACTGTAAAGCCATAGACTACTTAAGAGGGAAAAAAAAGTTTTCTCAACTATGGAAAGAAAACATAAAAAGAATCAGCAATGTTTTAAACAAAAAATGTCGCAAAACATCATGTTAGTCCTTCCTTGGTTTAGTTTCGTGTAATTCTTGTTTTGCTTGATTTGGGGTTAGTAATTTTATGAGTCCAGTTTTTTTTTTTTTCATTAGCATTCTGGGAATTTTTAGGGACTCCAGTAATATGGTGTCAAAGTTGTCAGGAACCTGTATTCAAGAGTACTTCTTGCAGTCCTTTCTATGAACCTTCTTGAAGACGCAACACTTTAGGATCTGCAAACAGCTTTTAGAAAAAATTATCATAATAAAGCAATTACTAGCAGATAACAAGACAAAATGGACATAGTTAAAGGCACAACTGACATGGAAATTTGGTTACTTTCTGTGGCCTACAACAATTTAACATAATACCCGTAATTATAACTGACAACATATACCAAAACAGATTTTTAGGAATCTCATACAATTTTGGCACACATATTAATAACATATCCATAGGGTATGGTCTGGATCTGAGTCCTCACCCAAATCTCATGTTGAAATGTAAACCCCAAGGCCAGAGGTGAGGCCTGGTAGGAGGTGACTGGCTCATGGGGTGGTCCCTCGTGAATGGTTTAGCACCATCCTCTCAGTACTGCTCTCATGATGGTGAGTGAGTGTGCTCAAGATCCGGTTGTTTAAAAGTGTGAGGCACCTCCCCCACTTCCTCCTGCTCCTGCTCCTGCTCCTGCCCTATGAGATATGCCTGGTTCCCCTTCACCATCCACCATGAATGTGTTTACTGAGGCCTTCCCAGAAGCCAGGCAGATGCTGCTGTGCTTCCTGTACGGCTGGCAGAACTGTGAGCTAATTAAACCTCTTTTCTTTATAAATTACCCAGTCTCAACTATTTCTTTATGAAGTGCAAGAATGGAGTAACACAGAAAATTGGTACCAGTGGTGGGATATTGTGATAACAAGAGCTGAACATGTGGAAGTGGCTTTGGAACTGGATAACAGATTGGAAGAGTGTGGAGGGCTCAGAAAAAGACAGGAAGATAAGGGAAAATTTGGAACTCCCGAAGGACTTGCTGAATGATTGTGACCAAAGTGCTGATAGCAATATAGACAATGAAGGCCAGGCTGAGGAAGTCTCAGACGGAAATGAGGAACTGGAGTAACGGTCACTTTTGTTACTCATGAGCAAAGAGCCTCTACTCTGAAGATCTGTGGAACTTTGAACTTGAGAGCAATGATTTAAGGTATTTGGCAGAAGAAATTTCTAAGCAGCAGTGTTTAAGAGGTGACCTGGCTGCTTCCAACAGCTTAGGCTTATATGTGTGAACAAAGAAATAACCTGAAACTGGAACTTATATTTAAAATGGAAGCAGAGCATAAAAGTTTGAAAAATTTGCAGCCCGGTCATGTGGTATCTTTAAGAAAGGAAAATTTTGTTAGCACCTCTATCTGGGGTCTCAGGTTCTCATCTGACAAAGTACGCAAAGGCCTTACAACCCCATGTGTCCATAGATAGACGAATAAAGAAGACAATCTGTAAGAGAGGAAATCAAAAGCTGTTCATGCTGGTAGAAAGGATTACCAATGGGTACCACAAAAGGTCAAGACTCATATAAATAATTAAAACAAGCCATTTAAACTAATATGTATAAATGTTTCTCTCCCAAGCTAAGGTATTCACTAAGGAAATCAATTTGGTAGTGGGTCTAAAGAACTTTAACTCTGTGTCAAATCCAATCTCTCCTCGAATGCTGCTTAATTAATTTCCTGAATAACATTTCAAAAACGTGGTAAGATTAACATCTTCCATGGGCTGAGAAAGGCTTAGAGAATCAAGCTGAAGAGCGTTTTGTCAATCTTGCAATGACTTACGGGCAATTGAAACATGAACTTCTCTAAAAGAAATTTATTTTAAATATAGTCAGTCTAATTTATTTCAAAGTGATTTAAAGTGAACTTCTCTAAAAGAAATTTATTTTAAATATAACCAGTCTAATTTATTTCAAAGTGATTTAAACCAATAAGCAAAAATAAAAACACCAGAGTCACTATATCTAAGAGCTAATTTATACAAATAATTTTCTCCTATTAATTTGAATTTGGAAATGAAGGAAAAAAGAAAAAAACTCTTACCCTCGCCTCTCAACTGAGCACTACAAATAGAGATGTGAAGAGCTGACATTGGTAAGAAACCTTACCCTTTCCTGCTGGTTTCTGTCAGATCTCTCAGATCTCCATCCACTGGCCCTAGTGCGA